CAATGCCTATTTTTTTATCTTTCATTTGTGACTGAATAGGAGCAAAAGTGACATGTGAAAAAATCCCCTTCTATACTAATATATTCAACTTGATTATAATTCATATGTGTTGGGTCAATTGCATAAATTTTGACACAGATTTCATGCATCACCTTATCTTCTTTGTAGTGAATAATGTGAGCACACAAGAAAACTTCACATGTATTAAATATCAACAACATGTTACGACCATTTCCTGTTTGTCAATTAATACAGAAAATATCGTCCAGTTCAACAGGATGGACTTCCACTTATTTGCCAACTGACTACCAAATATGGAGTACCTGTAAGTATCCGCCAAGATGCCAAAATATCTGCCACGGAAAAAGCTGTAAACGAGCAACTTGGTGGCATGATCCTGTAAAAATCCATGAGTGGTTTCTAATTCTTAATCTATTCTAACACAGAAAAGTCATGTGTCCCTCCAGTCACAGCAAATTCATGAAATATGACAGCAGTATTTCCTTGTCACACATATAGTTAAGTCATGTCAGGTCAATAAGAAGCTGCAAGCATGGGTAACTCGAGTAATATCAGCATGTTGATATCATTTCCCATGGTAAGACAAGTCATATGTGATGTGTTGGTCACTAAAGGTGTCATATGCAGATAACTAGGAGTCAATGCTTGACCTGACAGTTTGGGAAACATCTCCATCTGTTATATCATCTCTGAGCAAATTGTCCGATTATCTGAATAATGTTTTACTCTTATGTTTTCATAATCATGCTGTGTCACTGTACTAACTATATTTAAAAGCAAAAACTATGATTATTCTTTTCGAACACTTGAGATTTCATCGAGATGCATCAAAATTTAACCCAAGCAGCCTGGATGTTCCTAAATTTTAATGTACAGTACTAAATACCTAATAGGAAATGTAACTATGGTGTAGACTGTACTAAATATTTTCCATGCAGTTTATAATTACATTATTAAATTTAAGATATACATTAAATTATGCTTCTTTATGGATATTCTTCGGTTTACACTACCATAATTAATATTTCTATAGCCTTACCTGACCTGTCTCAAAACCAAGTAATAATCAAACTCAACCATTCACCAACCTGTCAGACATAGAATAACAGGTGTTTAAGTGTGGCTTGGCTGCTAAATCTACAGGGTCTCAAACAAACTCCTGGTTGCCGAGTTCCTGATCATTAATTGATGTGCTTGCAATGAGACAAAGATTCAAGGTATATGCTCAATGACACTCTTGACTGCGATATACAAAGCCAGTCACTCATAAACTGGCATCCACCATTCAGCTCCGACATAACATAAAAAATCAATTGTCTCCTATATAACTACAATAAAGGAATCAAATGTAATGTAAATTACATGATCCATCAAGACTTCAGTGTATGTGAGTGATGCTCTGAGCAGTCACAGGAGGTAGAATGTGTGTTTGTAGTATAGTAGCATTTACCACACAAGTATACTGTACAAATACATCTTATGTAAGTCCTATCACCTAAACTAGTAACATAGGAAAATATGTAAAAATGTATATAAGACACACATAAAGCAGCCACCTATGTAATGCATGTTTATCTTTCTGTGATCACATCATAACCCCCAAGCATAATCCAATGATCAAATCTAAAACTATTTAATTCGGTTCCAAATCTACACAACTCTCATATAGGCAAATTCTTCCACTCCTACATAATTGTACTACAGATACAGACCCTCAAATCCAGAACCCTTGGGACCAAGAACGAGATGGTTTTCAAGAATTTGCGGTTTCCTGGGTCATCCAAGTTACCCAAGGTCCATCAAGAGACTAATCAGATTTTGCTTCCACAAACTGTGTCACTCACAGGTGAAAAAAATCTTTGTATGCATACTTCAAATTATTTTTATATTTAAATATAATCTACTCAGAAGTTTAAAGTCCCTAAAAGCAAGTTAAATAAGTTTGTTGACATACCAGCAGCTTCTTGTGAGTTGCGATGTCTATCAGCAGTAGCAAGTTCGTATATATTTATTATCTGATTGTATAAATAAACCTATACAGTACAGTACCAGATGCTACTTGTCACATGGCCCCATGTGACAACAAAGCATCAAGCATAGGTTACCTCAAATATACGGTTGAATTTGATCAACATTAATTTCTAAAATTATAAGAAAATAATAATTACAGTAATATTCCATTAAAGTGCATAAAGAGATTTTGTTCTTTATTTTCTTATACATTTAACTCAGTTTGTGTCAATGTGTGTGGAAGCAAAACTTGTAGGCAGGGAAAAATAATTAACATAACCCAGGGATTTTTTTTCTTAATTTTCTTGAGAATCTCTGGTTTTCTAAGATATGATTTTGAGGGTCTGTACCTGTATTGTAAATCTTTTTAGCCAAGTATAACTCATCATGCATTCCATATCTCTAAGTTTCAACACAGTTTACAATTATACTGCTAATGACGGGCTTGGAGAGAGAGAGAGGGAGGGGGGGGTTAGAATTGGAGTTAACACTAATTATTGTAAACTACTCCTGACAATACACCATCCATCTAAGTACTCTGTAACATATACATAGCTGCTCTACCAGTGTTTGTCATAAAAGGACAAAGAGTCACCCAAATACCTTCCTATTACTGTAACAATAATTTACCTGATAATGCTAATGATTTATTTATGACAATGCCTGTAAAATAATATAATAAATATTAAATAATCAAAATCAGTTCACTTATACAGTACAGTATGCCAAATAAAAACAATGAATATTTTTTCTCATTTGTCAAATTTGTATGTCTCAAAGATTTACATATATCAAACAACTTCATGCATGTACTTAATGTTTTTAGATACACAAACAAAACACATTTGGAAGAGAGCGTATTACTGCAAAGTTTGACGGAAGTCCCATATTCCCAAATTTCAACAGGGAACAGCTCTACCCACATAAAGCAGATTACAAAGTAAAGGCTTTACTTTCATGGTGCTTTGGGAATGGCAAAATAAGTCTGAGGATGGCCAAGCTCATTTAACAGCCAAACTTCTATGCACCAGGATACTAGACCATTACAAACAGCAATGTTATTTCTTGTGTTCTTTTGGATATCCTCTTCACAAAAGATATACATATGTATATGTATATATATATTTCTATAAAAAGGCATGGGAAAAATCACCAACTTTATTCATCATACCATATTTTATATACAAACACTGAGTCCTCAGGTATAAGGATAATTAATATGGATGCAGCTGTACATTCACCTGTATATAATACGCATTAATATCCTTATTGAACAGCCTTCATTGAGTTACTTGCAGAAATCTATAGATTCATAGTTCTAAAGAAGTGTTTATTCTTGCATTGAAAACTTTGATACTGTACTAACTTCCATTCTTGAATGAGGGTTATTTTATTAACACATCTTTAGGACTGTATTTGCTAGCAATCAGTAGTAACATGGACAACATTTAGCCACTCTCCACTGTCCCTCCATAGAAGGGGTAATCAGCAGAGAATGGTGACCAAAATAACGAGAGACTCAACAGGTGCTGTAGTAACTGTCACACCACAGTACTTACTGAGGCATACTACTTACTTTGTTGTCATACATGACCAACTGGTATTAACAATAGTGACTGTACTTGAATTCCTATTGTACAGTTTAATAAAATGCTACATCTTACAGCTTATAAAAAATGGCATCAAGAAAGAACTAAGAAATGTGAATGAATATGACCAAACTAAAGTGCTGTTAAATCATATGGAATATCCATTTTAAAATATTGTAATGCAACTCCATGTAATCAGTGAGACACCTTACGTCAAGATTTGATTTGAATTTACAAGTTTCATACGGCTTGCTTGAAAAATCAGATATTTTCATCATTCACTAAATAGTATGTAGCTTGCAAGAGGTATTGGATTTATTACTTATAATTAAGAGATCCACATCTCCCTTACAAAAATAAAAAAAGTGCATGAAAAGCACCAGAAAACTAAAGAATTACTTACATCTTCCAGATAATGTGGAGTTTGAAGTGTAATAAAAATCTATACAAAATAAATAATAAGTGAGTTATATATACGGTATTTAATTTTTAAGAAAATGATTTGTTGTTATACTCTAAAATCCATAGACAAAACTGGGCTCCAATGACACAGCACATTCATTAACAAACTTTTTAACAACTCTCACATTATTGTCAGTAGATACAAACAGTAATAATAAGATAAAAGGGTCAGCCTAACTGGCCTCCCTTCTATATGGCACAAGTCATTAAATTTGATTAAAAACATTTGCTGAACAGACCTTCTCACACAGGACAAGTGTTCTGTAATTTATGCCAGAGGAGAACTTACACTTGTTTCTGACATTAAGACAGAGCCAAGTATGGCAAGTTAAGGTTATAAACATTTTAGTTTTGGAATATTTATGTACTTCCCTTACATATAAAACTTAAAAAAAAAAAAATAAAAGAGCCAATACAAAATTTGATCTTCTGCGTACATTAATCCATTTGTAATATTGGTGTTTTTTTCTTTACATGTTCCTACCATAGTCATATTTATAATTTCCAATTTTTTATTTTTTTTTGAAAATAAAATAGAATTTTAAATACCATATCAACAATTTTCTCCACACTATTCATAGAAACCATCTGTTATTATCAAACTAATCTAAATAACTAGTGGAATTTTTGAAAGGTAAGAAGAGAGATCCAGCGTGGGAATCACGGTAATATCTGCACCAGCCATGAAACCTTTGTATATGAGTGTCTTTGCATCCCTTCCATCACCACTAATGCACAAGTTAACCATTCCACCGTTTCTGAATCAGTAATACCTTTGCAAACCATACGCCGTGTATCAACTCCTCTGCCACCATTCTCCACCATCTACAGTAACACCATTCCAATATCAATCTCCTCCACCACAGATCTGCATGCACGACTATGACTCCACTCCATCCATGATGAAAAAGTACTTACACATTCTTGGTCTGCTCCTTCTGGTATGCAATAGGGGACTGAATTGCCTTGAGGAAGTCCTTTTGAGTTTGAAGAAGATGTCGAATCTGTGACACCCACTGATTTCTGTCATCATCTGTGGCACCTTGACACACAAAAGCGAGGTTGGGTTTCCGAGGATCAGTAGATTTCAACATTAATTTAAGGGGATCCCCATCATCAACTTTCTCTTCTAAGCTCATTTTGTTGACCTGGGAGAAAAGACCGAGTTGTATTACTGCTCACTAAATTATAATGAAATGAAATTTCCAGCGAGTAGTCCAAAAAAAAATTTCTACCGAGTACTACTGAAATTTGTGTACAGTACTGAATTAATTCTTCAAATATTGTAATATCTTCAGTATTTACAAATCAAATTACTGTACTGGAATCCCCAAAATTAGGATTAACAGCCTTCTGTTTTGTTTTTATCTTTTGATATTTTAATATAATTTTCCATTGAAATAATATATCAAACATATTTTCTGCAGTATTCTCTGATATAACAGCTTTAATGAGGATTAACATAGCTTGTAAGGAATAAATATGCCGTTTGTACAATCAGTAAATATACTCGCTATGCCAGGGTTTATTCCATTACAAGGGCTCCGAAGGTCCTGTAAATTAAGACCTCCAGATACAATATATGACATCACAAGATGGCGGATATTTTGTCTTGATTATCGCTACAAAGAGGACTTGCTACCTCTAGGATACACTTACAGAGTCAACTGGGATATACAATATTGTAGATATTTTTGAGTATCCGGCCCCTTATGTTCACACATTGTTTTTTATTAAAGACTTTTGCAATATATGCCATGTTTTTTTGTTGCAAGTTTCAATTATGCAAAGTAGATAACCTTTTTACTTAAGCAATCATCCAGTTTAATCTAGGACTGGGAGATAGCAAGATTTCTTGTATGATAGCAAAGAATGCATATAAAATTTTAGAAAAGACAAAATAAACAAAAGGAAACCAGAGATTTGCACAAGAACCTGCACTTCATACCATGACTGCCAACTTGATCTTAAGGATCAGCATTCCTTGAATGAAATCAAATTTTTCTAACTCAACACTCTAGAGTGCTAAATTTTAAATCAAATGTATAAATAATATAATAGCTGATCTTGTTCATATAATTATCCATACACTAAGTATATCACAAAAGTCTGCATCTTAATGCTATTCCATTCATTAACATTATAGTTTTCTATACCGCCACATATGTGATGCATGCTCAATAGCAAAGCTACTGTATTCTGCCTTTAAAAAACAAGTTTATGTATAGAACTTGAAAAAGTCTTTAAATATGGTCAAATACATTAATGGAGGGAACAACATCAGTATCCCAGCCAAGATCTGCATACAGGTTCAAGACCTGTCCAGGGGAATACTGTACTGTATACAATCACCAGTTAGCTTAAGATCAGCTTTTCAGATGTTTGTTCGGTGAAAAGATTTTATGAAAGAGATGTAAGAATGCATCTAACTGGCAGAGATGGGAGTAGAGAAATTAACGCACACAATCTTTTCAAAGACTCTCCGCCATTGTTGGGGAAGTGGATGAGATACTGTACTCTATTCACCAGGGCATTGGCTCGTAACTTGCACACAAGGCTCAGGAAGATTGAATATCACCTTGGCTATGGACAGTGCATGGATTTCAGTCTCAGAAAGCATTCTTGTTTTCCTTTTAAGATAGGGGTCCACAAACAACATGCCTGGTTATATTGTGGCAAATACTGGAACACAATACTCTGATATAGCAGCAACTTAATGCATTAGGTACTGTATTGCCACAGAGTGAAAATTCAGTCAAATAAATACCAATCAAATTTATAACTAACCTGCAAATGGCTTCTATATGCATACACTGGGTTAGAAAACTGGTTCTTCTTCCGACCACTCTCTGAGAAGATGATGGACTGCTCAAACAAAAACACCATCAAATCCTTCCCTCGGAAATTATGAGCTGACGTTCCTTCACAACACAGTAATGGACCATACAGAAGAAGTTTGCCCTGAGCCATAATCTTGCCCTGAAGATAAAGAAACATTATAAAAGTAAGTCTACAACATAATATAAATAATCACAGGATGACAATATAAAGTACTGTACATACAAAATTTCATATAATGCACCAACAACAAATACAAAGAAATCTTTGGCATGACGTTCATAATATATTTTAGAAGAATGAGTCACTTCCGCCTAATTTTAGTAACTACACAGATAAATGTGCAGTTCAGGAGGAATACCATTTACATGTATATCATTTGCATGACAGCAGCACTTTTAAGATGCCCAGTTCATGGTATTTTTGCATATTTTCACAAATTTTGATTATTTTAGCAAGGTGATTTTTTGTTCTAAGTAACTATAAATACTGTATGTAATATTTATAAGGAAAGTTTGCCTATTAGCCAATCATTACTAAAGTGATTTTTTACCTTAGGAGCTTCATCACTCAAATCCTCCATAATTTTCAAGGAGAGGCATTAAGGGAGTGAGCTTGTTTAGGAAACTGGAAAATTCATAAATTTGACATGTTGTTAGTCCCAATGGTATGATACTTCCGAGATTCCATTACGTACAGTTGTTGCCAGCTCAGTAATTTCATATTATACAGTATTGCTGGTAGTGTGGTGTAATGGTCAGCATGCTTGCCTAACAAGCAAGCGGACCCGGGTTCAATCCCCAGGCAGGGTGAAACTATGGGCAAGTTTCTTTATGCCATTTGCCTCTCTCTACCCAGTGATTCTCTTTGGCTATTGTGTCAGCATATCTGACACTACCTTTGTCAACTGAGACAAATTCTTAATTAAAAGAATTTACTTACATCAAAACCTTGTAACCGTCCCACATTCATCATGTCATTGGCCGCTTTTGGAACAACAATCATAATGTTGAGCGCTCTCTTGATGCTCTCTGCTTCTTGTTGTAGCCCTGCTCTCTCTGTGTGTTTGTGAATATCTCTCAGCAACAGTTGATACTTCATCAGTCTCTGCACAGGCTTGATTAATAAATCTGGCAGTTGGAGCTTGTGGCCCAGTTTCTGTCTCAGTTCCTGAGGAGGAATCAATCATGAGAAAACTGTCTTGCTTACGGATGTTCATTAATAACCAAAGCAATCCAGTTTCCCGAAATATGAATGATAAATAACAGTGTAAATTGTTGATTACATACCTCAAAATAATTGGAATACTCTGATACAATATACTCTGAAGTTGGCTTATTCTGGCAATACTTAATGTATATTTGAAGTCTCTTCTCACTACGCTGGAACACAGCTCCAATTTCGTCAGGGTGTTCCAAGCATCGTTCTATATTTCTCATAAAGAAGCTGTAAATAAATGGGCATAATTAAAAGTCTTCTGAGATTTGATAAAAACCTTTATATATAATATGAAATTTCAGGAAAAGCAAGAAAACTCATCATTTACGTTCCCCCAAAAGTGTTACTTACTCTCTATGCCACTCATAAATAGCTTCCAAATTTCCAAATACCATCTTGTCTTTGCCATCTTTGAGGTCCTCTGGCATTTTTACTTCTGAGTCTGGATTCCTCAATTCTGTGATGTAACCTTCAACAACATCTGCAAGGTCTCGGACGTAGAGACGTTCTGTTTCCACCAGCTCCGCAATCACAAATTGTCGCTTGTGAAGTTCTCTCTGCTCCTTTGTCATATCACAATCGCCTGCACATGTGAGTGTGGCCAAGCATTAGATCAACTTAAAATTCATATTTTCTGGTAAGTTTTTGTACAGCATACCGGTAGTCAGCATAGTGCAAAAACAAGAAGTGATTCATCACAAAATCACATTTTCCAATTTTTACTGAAGCGAGATGTAGTCTAAAGAATCATAAAATGACTACTTCACTTCAATGGAATAATAATTATGATAATAATAATACATTATCATTATTAATAGAAATATAGTAATACAGTAACAATAATATAAAATATTTATTGTAGGTCAAAATCATATACTGTACACATGTCACTGAAAAAATATATAATACAGTACCAGTTACGGGTAACCCTTATTATTAAGAAACTATGTAGCGAGGAAGAAAATCAGCAGCAATATGAATTACAATGCAGGAAGTTGCTTGTAATGTTTAGAAGCTTAATTCTTACACATCATCAGAGAGGTGTCATTCTATACATCTGGACTGAGATTCAACAAATTGGATTACTTACTTTTGAATTCTACAGTACGTATTTCTGAGATTTGCCTGTAGTACTTGTAAAGTATAAGTTCCAAGGAAATACTAACCTGGACTAGAATCTTGTACAAGAAGTGAATGAGGTAGGGCTGAGGCCCCCAAATCTGCCTCATCTGATAGTTGTGAGGTTAAGAGAGCACCTTGAGAGGGAAGGGGAGATGAGGCCTCATCACCTGAACACCCATCACCTGAACTTCGCCACTCTTTCAAACGTTCACTAGTTTCAGAGTGTTGTTCCTGTTGGAGAAATTCAAATCACTGTTAATAAAATCTAAAATTATTCTAAATCTGAATTTAAGAAAGCAGGTTTTGTTATCATGATGAACTGTACAGTATATTTTGAAATTATTATCTGCATTTCAACTTTTGTATTCTTGTGTAGTTTTTCATGACTAGGTTCACTTTATAACTGCAATGGTCCGTCCCAGATTATATCACTGCCGAGACATTATATTCAGTATACTAGTGTACAGTATATAAAAAAAATTATAGTTTTAATACTAAATTTGGGATAGCTATTATCAAGAAGTCTAGTCTTACATGCCCGGTTGCAGGCTTTTCCCCTCTTGATGCACTTTCACTATATCTACGCTGTTTTGCCTCATTCACTGTGCTTGTGGTTATGTCAATTGATGTAGTTCCTGGAAGATGTTGTTTCCACCAACTATAAGTTTTCAGTACATTTTTCTCTATGCCCTGTGACAATGCTCGAACTAACTTCGGCGGTGAAAATGTATGTTTGCATGAGTTTTTCATATGCCTTTCTTTTTCTTCTTCCATTATTTATAGTCTGTCTGTATTACTTTTGTATCTGGAATTGTTTTGTTTTCATAAAGGAATTTAAACTGAATGTATGTATGAAACAACATAATTCACAGGATATACATCTGTCCATACATCCAAAGGTTTCAGCAGTTAGAACAATTGGGTCTGTAACTTATGAAGCTTGTTACTAAAGAGATGATTGTTCTGTATGTGATCCATGATATGATACCATTTAATAGTTTAAAAAAATTTGTAGATGCTGCATGTGAGACGTGCAAGTCTGCCATATTCTTATTTCCCAACTTGGATAATGCTGTTTCCAAAAATATTATCCATGTTTTAATTTTGACAGCTACCAATCAATTAACCAGCTTCATGTTATGGACACTATTCTTTCAGTATATCTTACATTCAAACATTCTTACCACTGTACAAAAATACAATTATGTCATCAATCCAGTCATCTGGTAATTTCTCCTAATTCCAGGTTCCCACACAAAATAAAGTAAGTCACTGGTGTAACATTTTGCCCCCTTTTTACGATACCTCCCAGTACTTTTTTCACCAGTGTTATACTTCTTTACACTCAGTCACAGCTAAACATTTCTTCCAGCTTCTTACTCTGCCTTTCAATATGTATATTCAAATTTCCCCTACATCTCTCACATTAAACAGTTCTTCAAATTATTCTTAACACAGGTATATCTTGTCCCCTTGATAAGAAAATCATGTAGTGTACTGTAATTACTACCATTCCACAACTTTTAAATACCTGTACAGCACTTACTTAAAATACCTGTATTACATTATCTTAAATAGAGTGAATACATTACAGCACAGTTCTTCTTACTGGTCTCATCGACTTCTGCCATCATGTAATCAATTATTTCAATCAATTCAACTTTAATAACATTTCTACAGTCCCACCAACCCAAAGCTTTTCCTTCGGTTTCATCTTCTAGCTGTTTCTTGGCACACAACACACACTACTAATATAGTATAAACAAACTACAAAAAATTGGTGAGAACAGAACTTCAAACATTTCAAGATACTACAGTGGAAAATCAATATAAGTGCATAAGAATTTGCAACACAAGATCACTGATGCAAGGCAAATATCCTTCAGGGAACTCTTGGATATCATGATTCAGTTTGCATGAACACATATGTTATTCCAAAGTTATTTCTCATACTGTACTCAAGAGTCAACAAGGACTATGAGAGAAACTTAGATATGTGATATGCTGATAACTACACTGCTCCAAGGGAACTAAAATATACACCAACCTCTCACCCTGATAAACGCACTGATAACAGCCACAGTTACCATTCAGTTTTATTTTTTATTTTAGTCTTTACAGCATAATTTCAAGGTTTTATTTTCACTAAAAGCCATAAAACATTAATTTGAAATACTTGCTGATACCTGTATATAGTTTTTGTTTGAAAGTGCTGTACTGTATTAGTGATGGCTGCAGAAGCTGTATTATCTTGTACTGTAAAAAGCTATAAGCTACTACAGTGGCATTAATGGTACTGTACATCCCATTCTTACATTAATAGGAAGTCGGTGAATATTACTCATGAAAAAAAAAAGATCATGCTAGGAATATAAAAAAAAAAAAAATAATATATGGGAAAGATGAAAAGGAGGAAGTAAAAATGGAGAGATAAAGAAAAGAAAGAACTATGCACTCAGATTTTGGTAAACATATGAAAACAGGTACAGGTTGACAACCCCTTATCCGAAATCCTTGGGACCAGATGTGTTTCGGATTTCGTAATTTTTCGAATTTTAGAATGGTTAATTTATTTAATTTTTTTATTTATTTATTTATTTTTTTTAAACAGGGATTAGCCCACCCGGGCACAGGTCACTGACCCACATCGGGGCCTGGGGGGCAAAAATGTAATAATAATACAGTAATTGATAGGTTTCGGTCATGTTTCTTACTTTTGATCTTTTTTTTCATTTTTGTATATCTTTATTATTATTATTATTATTATTATTATTATTATTATTATTATTATTGCTATTTTCATTATTATTATTTTATTACATTATTATTATTATTATTATTACTACTACAGTGCACCCTCACTTTACACGGTTAATTCAACCCACAGGGTACCGCGGAAAGTGAGAAACGCGTAAAGTGAACAACATAACATATGGGATTAATTGAAATAGAGACCGGGCCGACCCCCAAACTCCACTTTTTCAGACACAATTCCTACGTTGTAGTAAAAATAACTTCTTAATTTTATGATGGTATGCACACACAATTAATAATTAAGAGAAATATTAATAATATTAGGTTTTTTAACATTTACATTAGTAGAAAAGATGGCTGGGCACACGGGGATGGGGGGTTGGTTCCGAGGCAGAGGGCAGATTATTGGCCCTCACCTGTATCACTTGTATCAATTGTATCACTATCCACCACAGAGGCTTGCAGGGCCTCTTTGTCAAACCCCTCAAAGTCCATATAAGTCCATATCCTCACTATAATTATCACTATTACTGACTTGGGCCGGCTGTGGGGGGTGGCGGGTGAAGAACTCGGTAATGTTTTGATGACTGGGCGACCTTATGCGCACCCTGCTCGCGCCGCTTACACAACATGGGAGAGGGCGGGAGAGATGGCGGGAGGTTTTGATCCAAAAATGGCGTGGCTCGCCAGCCGCTCTCCGCGTAAAGGGGTACACGCACCGCGGAATGTGGGACCGCGTAAAGCGAGGGTTGACTGTATTACATTTTCACCCCCCAGGCCCTGATGTGGGTCAGTGACCTGTGCCCGGGTGGGTTATTCCCTGTAAAAAAAAAAAAAAAAAAAAAGTGAAGCTCCACAAAAAAACTTTCGGTTTTCAGAGGTTTTCGTTTAAGGGATTATCAATCTGTTGCGTATTCATATTTTTTTCTGGCTATCCATATGAACAAAGTCACTAATATGGAGTAAAATGAAGATTTCTCAATATACTGTACAATATTCACAAACATGAAATTACACTCTGCTGAGCACAAATCTGTTTTTCTCAAAGATGGTGGATTTATGTTTCTTCATTTCCTTAACCAAAACCTGACAAACACTGAAAGACTGTTTAATCATTTCACTAAAGCATTGCAAGTGACAAACACTAGCAAATTATAGCAAGAGTAGTAATTATATAAAGTATTTACTGTACCGTACCAGTAAAATCAATGCAAGTACCGGTAACTCAAATTCAAAATAAACAATTGTAATGAAATAATCATTTCAGTAAAATTTTGAATACACCTTTAAATGTATATCGTACAACAACTCTTGTTACTCACAGCATCATGTCTTGTTCAGTGAGTACAGTACAGACAATGCAGTACAGTTACTGGTTTTTAAATTTACAGCAATACATAAAATATGAAATTAATAAGACAATAATAGTGATACAGTAATACTGTTAATGTTAATTCAAGTATTCTGTAATAAAAAATTATCATTCATAAAATCCTCTTCTTGCTTTGGTGCAAGGTGGTGGAACAGGAGCTGATCTGATATACTTAACATTCAGCAGCTAATGTGTTATTCCAACCCTAAGGTAGAACTGCAGTCTACCAGAGGGTTGTTCTACTGTTGGTAAGTGAAAGCAATAGTGAGCTCATATACACTTTACAACTAAAGTCATAGACAAATGCACAGAAGCTACACGAGTGACCTCTGGAAATGAGGAGAAGTTTTAACTGCAATAGGGGTACTTAATAGCATGTGGTTTTTGAAGTACTGCAGGGTACCCTGTATTTTAATTTAGATTTTTAAACTTATTTTATTTATATCAAATAATAGTTTTAACTTATGATTTTTATCATTGCCAGAGGTCACTAGTGTAGGTTCCATGCAGATGTCCATGACTTTAGTCCTAGAGTGTACTGTCAGGGGGACAAGGGCTCATGTGTGATGAAGGAACCAAATTTTCCACCCCAGGTTAGAAACAAACCCATGACCATTAGCTAGCAAAGCAAATGCTTTACCAACTTAGCGACTTTGTCATGTCAATAATGAAACATTGATAGACCCAGTACTGTACTGTATATGTAAATCAAAACCAATCATACAGTAATAATAAATACAATAAAACAATGTTCACAGCAATGTTAATACTTTGTTTTTACATAAAATTTAACTAATGGTTGCACCAGTTGGACCTCTGCACTTACCTCTTAACATGGAAGTATTCAGGTAAAACAATTATCATTAGTAATTTTAAATACACTGTACATAAAAGGTAACAAAAAAGGTAGCACCAAGATTTCAGTATTAATTATGTACCTTGTATTATTTTACATGGAAACTTACCATTCAGCATTGACCAGCAAATGACAATAAAAAATATAATGACTAAACATAGAAAATTAGTGCAGTATACATTATTAACTATTATAAACTACCAGCACATGCAGAGTGAAACAAATTAGGTGCAAAATAAGATACATCATCCCATGAAAAAAATAGAAAAGTAAAAAAAATGAGACATTGAGTACAAGGCTGACCAGAGTATTGATAAAGTCCAAAAATAAAACAAGCCTGAATTCAACAAAGTATATGCATACAATCCTACTAAAAGTATAGAACCGCCTTTTTTCCACCTGAGGGTTAGAATTACTAAAAACCCATGAGAGGAAACAAGGTAACGTCAAGAGAATTATATAATGTGAGGTAGTACAAGAACATGCAGGGGAATGCTACTAGTGGACCATGCACGGTGCTGACCACCAAGTGCTCACCATCTTCTCCTTGACAATGTTTTCTATCTCCGTGGCCAGGTCTGTCGTGGTCCCCTCTGCTGTCTTCAGGGCTACACTTGATGACTGTGGGGGAATGGAATCTATCAACCACGATCAACCAACACTCCAGCTGTCAACCAGGATCATCAACGAAACCAACAATAAGCCAACTTTAACCACGGTACCAAAACTCAACCAAGACGAACAAAATTTTAAATGTTAGCCATTGCCAATCAATTATGTATACATCAACTAAATGTGACCATAACTCAAATCATTCAAACTAGCCTAACATCAACCATAAGACCATCAACTGTCATTCAGCAGCACCATAGACAAGGCATCAACCACTATCAATGAACAATGAGAAACCAATGAAAATTTGACCAACCACCTTCAGAAATCATTGATTGCATTAACCATACCAAAATTTCCTAATTACCAACTAGCGACCCAAAAAATTTACTTACTGCAGATCTGGATGTACATTTTGACATCAATGTGGACATATACCCAAGTGAATGCCAGGGGTAGAACATCAACTTTACTTTTGACAGGTGGGCTAAGAACTACAAGAGTTGCTAATATCAATAAATTTCGACTAACTTTAATACAAGATTCAATCTGGGTTGTACATCAAAATTCTAAAGGCATCAACTACCTGTTAATGAACAACCACAAAATCCCACGCAGGATCAAGCAAGTGTCTGCATGAATAAAAAAAAATAATAAAAAACAATCACCAACCATCATTAATATATGTAAAATAAGTCAACTAGAATAAATTAACTGATAAATTTCAAGAAACCATTACAGGTGAAAAAAATAATTATGATCATCTCCAAAATGCTGGTCATTATTAACCAAGAAAATTAATCTTAATCAGTATTATTAACCAATATAAATTAAGCCCCAAAATATATTAAACACCGAAAATTCACGTAGTCAATCTGTACCTTTCAATTATTCTGCATTTTATTTTTTTACCACGAGATGGACTTGGAAAGGTACACATTGGGGTGTGCCCTGACAATGTGACCTTAAAACTATAGATAGACTTGCCTGGGCTGTCAGGGCATTTGCCATGGACAAGTTGAGAAATAATACGATTATCTCTCCATATATTCTGTAGTGTAATTGCAAATTAGTTGGGTTTAAACATTACCCCAGTGAGGATAAAATTAGTGAACCAACAATGGCAAATTATCCAATGTAAGAACTATAATGTTTAATAACACATACCACCAGACACAATAAATGATTCACCACATTAAAATTAGCCAACTGTCATGCAGCAACATCGAGACAAAGAAACTTGTCACTTTTAACCAAAACTCCAACTGTTATCACTACTAACCAACTTAAATTGTCAATTGTCATTAATAAATACAAACCAACTATAGCCAAGACTCGTACACCAATTTGCAACCATGATCATCCATAAAATCCAAATGCCAATTATGTTCAAAAATAAAAGCACAGTACAATAAAACGAACCCTCAACTCCAATAAACTGAACACAAGTTTTTTCCGTACAGACACCACAGCAACAGTGTTCACTAAATCCATGGAACATTAGTAAGAGGAGCCTAAACACTAAGTACAGGACCCACACCATAAGAGGAATATATCAAATACAGTAAAGTGTTGTAACAATAATCTAACATACTGTAATACTGTACAGTACCTTGTGTACAATATCCATCCGTGTTGAATACAGTACTTATGTGTGGTATCCACTCAACTAAAAGTTTTCAAAAATTTATTAAGTAGTCCAATAACAAGTACTGTACCGGTACCCTGTACCAACAGTGAGAAAAGGTACACATGAAATGAGGAGTTGAAACCCCGAGGAGACAGAACAGGTATTTTTCAATGAACTGGTAGTTCTCTGCAGTGAGTTACACTTCATCATAAAGAGATCTCACAAACTTTACTGACTAATAATGATGGTTTTCAAGATACTGACCAAGCTTTACCAAAACATTTTATGAGACACCACAACCACCAATCCTTGAATATATTGTCAACCATCACCAGTACCCCTAACCATTTACCTCTACATTTACTAATCCACTAATTCTACAGTAATTCTAAGTAATATCAGGATCCATACAAGCAATCAACCAGTTATTTTTATTAATGACTTAAACTGACTAGTAGCTATGAGGTTCTCCCAGGTGCTCAAAAAATGAGGTAAATTCATTAAATACAGTACACCATATAACCACATTCTGGCTATATGTACTGGATAGGCTTCTCAAGAAGTAAAAGCTTTTGTTGTGAAGCAGACACACAATATGTATTGCTTTTCATTTCTAGATCCCTTTAAGCAGGATTGCTGTGGCTTCTCATCGAAAGCAAATGGAGCAAAACACTGTTAATGAATTACTGGATGACTAACTTCTTGAGATTTGCCAAATTTCAATTAACGCACATAAAAAACTCAGTTGCATAGTATGGCACTATACCATAGATGACTGATCATGCAGTTCTAAATCATATAACTCTGACTTGAAACTAGACTAGACTGAGTCAACTTTCCTTTTAGAGTAAGATATAACATTGGAGAATCATGAAGCATCCGCTAACACAAAGCATTACACAACTCAGGAGCAAATACTTACTCTATTTGGGACATCGGTGAGAATGTTATCAAGTGGTGGAATAGAGGGTCCTGTTGCAACTGTGGTAGGACCAGGGACTCCCTGGGCAGCTGCTGCAGACATGGGTTGCTCAAGTACTTTCATGGGGGGCGGTAACTCCACATCCAAATCACCCTCCTCACCGTTCTCCACTGAGAGTGACCGACTTGTCCCAGAAGCACCACCTGAAAAGTACAGAGCTATTGTTTCAAATAATATCAGGCAAAAAATGGACAAGAGAAAATCATATTCAACTACAGTAAACATGACAAAATAAAGGCAAAAGAACAAGGTTAATGCTGACAATAAAATATGGGTTAAGCAGTAACTTCCCTAACATATGCACATCTATACTCTCTCCCAAAACTCTCCTTTCCTCAGAAACTTTAATTAGAAAAGTAAAATTTGTTTTATTAGAATAAGTGATGTATGTTTATGGGTTTAAATCCCAGGAAAACTTTCCATGTTAGAGGCTGGGTTGATTCAGTCATAAGTCCATATAAAAGGATCTGCAGGTGTTAAAAGAGCGTAGTGCCGTCACACTAGCTCCTTGTTAAGTGAAAAAATTATTAGTTTACAGTGTGTTATCTTCTCACTGTGCCTAATATCTGACAGGTGTAGAGAATCCACTTTTTATCTTTTTCAATGATACCATGCAATATGGCAGAAATAGCCAAATCACATATTGTACACACCCCTGAAGATGTGAATTACACGAAAGCACTTAGGAACTACGTGTTTTCTTTTTTCCTTTGTGGTTATCAGCATATACCTGGATCACGCACAGCGCGCGTGATCCAGGTATATGCTGATAACCACAAGGAAAGAAGAAAACACGAAGTTCCTAAGTGCTTTCGTGTAATTCACATCTTCAGGGGTGAGTGCAGACTAAGGAGAAGTACAAAACAAGGTATACTCTATATATACAGAGGAGGGTGAGATCAAGTACACAATGGTCAGGTATTAGGTAATGACCCTACTAATCTTCAAAAAGCACCGCAGCAGTCGGTAGTCAGGTCAGAGGGTAAGCTGACCCAACCTTCTCACCTGTGCCCGGGTGGACTAATCCCGTAATAAAAAAAAATAAAAAAAATAAAAAAAATAATAATTAGAAAATAAATATACTGTAAATAAAAACTCTGCCCTTCCTCCTATCCATACTAAGTTATTTTCTACAAGTATATCTCCCCACTTTATTTTACCAGACTAGGGCTACTAACATAACAGGACAGTGATGGTATTTCTACGTCATCTGGAGGCGAATTATATATCTGAGAAACATTATGCTGTAACAGACTTGATTCGTGTCTGTTGCTCGCACCCCCACCCTCATCCCCGCCCCCAGCTGTCCATCCTCCAGAGGTGATGGGATCATGATGATTTCCACGAAGTCGCGGGGGTGACGTTTCTTGTCGACTTATATTTAAAGTTTTTTAGTGAGGCAGCTTGGCAGAGACTCCATGAATCTGGGGCGCCAAGTACTATTTTAGTGTGCCCCTGACATACCACCCATGAAAAACAGGCGGTGATGAACAAGTAACAATGATGAATAAAAATGAAGTCTTTAACAGGTAACAGTGATGAACAAGGAAGGAGGAAAATAAAACAAATATACCCTCGAGTACAATATGTGTGAGGGAGGGGTAAAGTGAGGTGGGATGGGGGGTGAGAGACGTACCTGGGTGGGCAGTGAGGGGTGGGACACGGGCAGCGGGCACCACCTCGGCCTCCTCCTCGGACTGGCTCTGGGCCCCGGCCTTATTGCCCATTTCGCCTGACCCGCCAACCTGCAACAACAAACAACAACAATGTCAATATAAACCAATGCCAACAATAATATCAGTAACAAGCAACATAACATATCCCTTCACTACATTAATCTAAAAATTATGTGTCACTGATAAGAACCTGATTGATGTACACACACAGATTACTGGCGTTCCTCTGGTAGTATTTACACGGTGTGACCTGTGATATTTCTACTCTCTCAGTACAGCAGCAACAGTCATCCTCAGGCCCTGATGTGGATTACTCTAATTTCTAAAAGCAGCTCAATATTACACATTTTCACTAAGAATTACAGCGTTAGATGAAATAAATCCAATGTTTTGAATAGTTTTATACTAGAAGTGAGCAAACAAAGTTCTTAGCACCCACTACCTCTACACCCCCCCCCCCACCTTTGTTATTTGGAGAGTACAAAACTTTCCTGAAATAACTCGAGAAATAAAGAGATTCTGGTGAAATACATAAACAAATACCTAATTATTCACATAAGCATCCCCCTTCCATATCACAAAGCATTTAGTTAATAATAATTAATTAGTATGTACAGTACCTTATAATTACCATTAATATAATAAATAACTGTGAACAAAAATGTAATAGGAGCCATTAATAAACATGTATCGACGACTCTTGAATTATTTGCTTCACTTTTTACTACAGTCGGCCCCACACACCCAGCATCCGCGGAATAAAGTCCAGTAGGTGCCGTATACAGGCGGGACCCGGGGGCGGCTCACCTTCCAGCCACGTTACCTGGTCCCGGATGTTAAACGTTCTCACAGGAGGGGCTTTCCCCACCCTAAGTAGCGGAACGTCAGCGCCTCTAACTGGCTCACTTTTTAAGACGGAGATGGAGGGCCAAAAGATGACTGTCTCAATGGCTTATATACTGCCCTGAAATTACCATAGCTACATGCATCTCTAATTATATGTCAACAATAGTACCCGAGGTAATACACCTGCTGCTAAATTTGATCTTTGACCTTCAGCAAAGTAATAGTATTCAAGACTTCTGACACAAAGAACTAAACTCAGTGTTGTGCGCCTTGTATACTGATAATATATATTACCATGAACTTTTATTGCAATAGTCTTGTCACAAACTCCGGACAGGGGGTCGGGAAGTCCACGGTCACCCAGGCGAGACACCATAACACAATACATCCGTTTTTCTGAAGTAATGTCATGAAAATTTAAGTAGGAACTCTTGAGACTCCGGGAGGTGGGTTGGGAGAGGCAAGGATATGGGGTAGAGTCCCTTACCTATGAAAGAGGGGCGCCCGAGCTTGGTACCTACCTAGCGGTCTTTGGTCCAAGGCCAGTACGGCAATCACTTGGACAACACGTTCCAATTAATGTTATTTTTTTTCTTATTACCATAAATAATCAATAAATTACTACGTCGACTACTAGCAAAAAAACCCGGCAAACTATTCAGTAACAAGTAAATGAGGTACTGTATAATATAGAAACGCACAGGAAAGGAAAACTAAAAGTAGAAATTATGACAATACTTCTATTACTACTAATTATAATAATTAAATGTATGCAACCACCAGTAGAAGGAAGCTATCAAGATAACAGCCCGTGAAACTAATGATCAGGACCGCTGACTGATCTAGACTCAATCACTCAATGGTAAAGTTTTTGCCATAACTTCATCGATGGACGGTCGAGTCAGACTCCACACAAACTATACGACGCAGTAATCAGATGGAGGAGTCAATAATAATAATAATAATAATAATAATAATAATAATAATAATAATAATAATAATAATAATAATAATAATAATAATAATAATATAACTATTAAATTTTACTCGTTAGACATGTTCCAGAATACTAGGTTAAATTAGGTTAGCTTTAGGTTAGGGTTAAACTAGTTTAGCTTAGATCAGGTTTAGTGAGATTTTGGGTAAGTTTAGGTTAAGTTAGATAAAGTTATAATAGGTAAGATGAAGTTAGATTATATATAGCATTCGATAAGGAAAGGTAGAGAGTCACGACAATACCACTGGTGACCCTGGAGGGCCTTCCCCCAACACCCAGGAAGAGATGCGGGTCTTGTCTCTAGCACAGACCACGATTCACGAGGACCTCAGTCAGGATTATCTACGGGCATCTTAACACGTGAGGGATGGGTGTGTGTGGGGGGAGAGAGAGGGGCGTGTGTGGGGAGAGGGGCGTGAGGGAGGGGTGTGTGTGGGGAGAGAGAGGGGCAGGGGGGGGGGAGAGAGAGGGCGTGGGGAGAGAGAGGGTGGAGGAGGGGGGGGAGAGAGAGAGGGCGTGAGGGAGAGAGAGAGAGGGAAAGTGTTTGTCATACGGAGTTAAGGTGAAATCGTGAGGTGGAACCCGCTGGCTGACTGGATCTGCTCGCCAACAGCCCCTCTGTCCGCCAGACATCCGTAAACAACCATCACCACAGTTCCCCCTCCCCATCACCTTCACCCTTCCACCTCCACCATTCTCACCATCACCACCACCCCATCATCATCATCATTATTCTCTCACACCATTCCCCACACACACACACACCATCACACACACACACACACACACACACACACACACACACACACACACACACACACACACACACACACACACACACACACACACACACACACACACACACACACCATCCCCACACACGCACACAAGAACATCACCATATTTTCAGGGGGTTCACATTTACCCTTTCAGTGTTTATTTAGGTTTCATTAATTGGTCAGTATTCCTTTATAACTGCTAAACACTCGGCATCAGTAGCCCTTTTGTGTTGCATAACTGTCGGAGTATTAATAGCAGCAGCTAGTGAAGGGTGACTGGGGAATACCTAAACGTGGGTAATTAACTATTGATAAATTACAGTATATGACAGAGCACCGACGTCCTGGCCGGGGGGAGGGGGGGGAGGGGGGTGTAGGATGAAGGGAGGAGGAGGGTGGGAGGGAGGATTCGAAAACGTGACACTCGAAATCCACTTGAAGAAAATTCCTGTACAGTATTAAAATTTTCCCTTACCATTTTACTTAACATCACCATCAACTAACCTAACCTCGTCCTAGTATAATATTTTGGAGTAAATTTATCACATCTCACAAACGCTCCACCACTGTACCACGGTTTTCTTTTCCTCTTTTATTAAATTTATAAAGATCGACGTGTGTAATGACTGCTTTAATATGTGGTATGTGTTTCATGGTAGGTGCGGGTTCTCGTTACTGTAGCGTCTCGGGACAGACTACACGGGTACAGAAGGTAAAAAAAAGAAAAAAGTATAGCAATATTCCCTGACTGGAAGGTTTCATTTTGCTCCACACTGTACAGCCTCTAACAGTTGGTAGCCCTAAAAGTTTGTGTACGAATTCTTCTCAACCAAAACACATGATAAGAGTTAAATAAAACAGTTAACTACAATAATTACGGCATATCAGAGAGATGAATGACGTTATCACTAATAGTTACAATAGGCGTCAGCTGTTGAACGCTTAGGTCACCCTCAGACAGTAATTAAGGTCGTAGGATGATTTTGGTTTGAAATAATGTCTGTTTTCCGTGTTTAATGAACAAGAAAATATAATCACAAGGAACAACAGGAATAAATACACTGTTATACTCAGCCAACAATACCACCTTTGGCTATAACAACGGTATTACCAGACATTTCTCCAACATAAAAAAACCATATAATATTTATCAGTTAATATGATCGTGAAACACAACTCTCCTCACAATGTTCACTGTGACGGGACACTCAATGAGGTAATTACACTTACTGCAACACACTAACGACTCCCTCTAGACGTATGATGACCGCGTAACAAGTAGTACAGTATACGTGCCATGTATCTATGTATCCACACACACACACACACACACACACACACACACACACACACACACACACACACACTAACATACCGACATGTACCCTTACCTCCAACATAGATTCAGATCTGGAATTACAGACTTCTTTAATTATGACGACAGAAAAAGGCTTTAATATACACCATCTGGTTAATATAAACACAGAGAGCACCACAGAGACAAGTCTTTCAGAAGGTTTAGTTCAGTTTGAGTTTGTTTCATATATTTCATCCCTGAGGTGTGGTAGTACTTTTTTCTTTTCATTCATTCATATATACATACATACACACATACATACACACATACATACATACATACACACACATATATAAAGCCTTGTGGGAAGCATATTCTGTGAGAAGCTCCCACCCTGACACCTTCCCAGCTCACTATACCAACTATTCTGGCTGATGACTTAATTATTATTCATCTATTCTCATTACATTCACAAGACAAAACAAAAACTCTGGTAATAATACAGTTACAGAAGAAGTTACAGATACAGATAAACTTGTTTGTAGTTTATTTGAATACTGTTATTCATATTCTAATTCATTACTGACCTGGTATAGTCGTGTGATACATATAATCTAAGAGACACGTCCATACATGATCTATTTTAAGAGTTAATCATACATATTAACAGTATCTTGATGAATGAAATACATCTTTTATGACTGTGTAGAAGATGAATACCCTTGACCTACATAGATTTACTAAATGAACGGACGGACGGACGGACGGACGGACACACACACGAGAAAGTAAAACGGATGTGCCTGCCCTCCTTGTCAACAATGTGGCCGTATTTATGTTCGTGTGTATGAGAGTATTAGTCATAGTTTTACTCGTACTACACAGAACAGTGAGTGGGTGAGGTTACTGATACACTGTGCAACACATAAACCAAGTGGTGTAATCTTCGTGGTGTAGATTAACACAGTATAACCTTTTTCTTCTCTATTTTCAATTGCTTTCTGTTCTTCCCCCCCCCCCTCCCAGGCCCGTTGTAGGTCGTTTGACCTGTGCCCGGGTGGGCTAATTCCCGTAAAAAAAAAGTACACTGCTGTATGCTGGTTAGAAAGGGAATTCAATTACTGTTAAGCACTGGGGGATCGAAGCCTAC